GAGGAAAACAAAATTAATTTTATTAAATTCTTTGATAAAATACGGAATCTGTAAGAAGAAAAAAAAATGCATTAAAAAACCAAAAATCTTTTTAAACGTGAAAAAATCCAAAGTAAAAATTTCATATTTTAATTTTTTGATATAGGAAATTTAATTCATGCTTGGAAAGTATGGAGAGAACGTTCTAATATTCTGATAAAAATGAAATTTGCATTATATTCTGCTTCCTAATTACAACTATAAGAAGCGAAATATACATTTTACCCAACATGAATATAAACATTTCAAACGGAGCATTTGTTTTATTTTTTTGTCATCTTATGAGAGTTTTATTATTATTTTACAGTAGCAATATTTATTTATCGTTTTGTAAACCTTCAGATTGGCTACTATATTTTGTATCAATATTCAGTTTCAGTATTCTACATAATTATTTTAGTACTGTTTAAAATCATTTTTAAAGAATCCGTGTTGTTCAATTTTAGTTATAAAATAGACGATTAAATTTATAAAGGAAAGGGATAATTTAAAAATTTTGATTTACACGGTTAATAGTAACGGTAGATAAATAGGTCAAAATAATTTTTCTAAACTATATGGTTCAGAGGTTCTGCACTCAAATATTAATACTTAGTAAAAAATTTGTTTATGTTTGTATAGTTACTCACGCAAATTTGACGAAGGTGCCGCATTTATGGTAACAATGGTAGTTATTAAAAGGCCACAGATAGATTTTATTGTATTAGACATCTTAAACATATTTAAATACTTAGATGAAAAAGTAAAACTTATTATAGGAAAATCGACTTTAAACTATGAAAAATAATAAATAATAACTCACCTTAATGTAATTCTTAAGCTTATATAGTCTTTTAAATACTAACACTAAACAATATATGCAATGAATGACCTTATTCAAGTTTATTTTTCTTTTATCAACCTTATTAAGAATTTGGCTAATAACAAAATAATTAAAATTAATGTATTCGCAAACTTGTCTACATAATTTATGGATTTTAAATTGCATTAATCTTTTTATATATAATATTCAGCGTGTGTTCACGTGTTATTAAAGTACAAAAAAGAAAGAAGCCTCTATGCGGAGAGATATAACAGTTTGTAATTGTGTCCAAATTTTACACACATTTTTAAATCCTAATTTTTACGGCCAAGTTTGGAAATATGGTAATTATCTGTTATCATCCTTTTGAAGTATTGTATTGAGATATATTAGCCACAGGATAAATGAAGTGAATACCCAACGAGTAAGCACGTAGTGGATACTAAGTGGCAGAAATAAATACGAAAGAGCATTATTGGGCCTATAACGATTCGATAAGACATTATTCGTCAAATCTTTAATAGGTAAAATTTGTTTTTGCAACGGCCGAACACATTATCAAACCGATTATAATGTTATAGGTTTGATAACTAGTTATCGGTCGTTTATGCGAACCGGCATATAATGTATAATTGATACGACCTTGAATTTCGTTGATAATAACCCGTGTTTTAAGAAAACCACATGACCACACGGAACACGGGTCAAAAATTTCCGACGTTTGCGACAATATTATTATGAGAAATCATGTTTAGAATGATATTCAGATATAAATATTTATATTTTACCCAAGCGCAGGGACCGGTGCAGCTTCAATGCTTTACCTCCCACCAAACATTAAACCGGTACTGAAACCAATACATTCCACGCGGCACCAGAATCTAAAATTTGTCAATATTTTAATCGAAATAGTATTAAAGTCTTGATTCAGTTATATTGCTATTGTATGCTGAAGTGTTTAACAAAAAATTGTTCTTGCAGTCCCAGACACTATTTTTTATTTATTTCAAATATATAAGCGTATAAATCTTTAGTCGCTCATATTATCATATCTTTTATACGATATTATAAAATTTAATTATAGTTATACAAACTCGTAATTATACAAATTATGATATTGAATTTACCTATATGTTTTGCTTGGTTCAACACAGTTTGTTTATACCTCAATAATTTCCTGTTTGTGAAATTGTTAATACATATCACCGTATGATGGTAATTTTAGATTTTATAATTAAAATCCATAAATTACACCTATGTGTGAGACTTAAATTAGTTATTTTAATTTTTTTTCTCTATACCTTATTAGGCAAACTTACAAAAAGAGTAGGAATGTAAAAAAAAATACCCCCATCGTAATATATATAAGGCAAAATGACTAAGGAATTTTACTTATTTGGTTAAGTTTAAACCAAGACTATATTTATTTAGTATTTCAATTAAAATCGTTTAATATTTATAATAGTTAATTGTAAGGTAATTTTACTAATTTTGTCTTTTATACACCTAAGTGTTGACTTTTTTTAATATGTCTACAAAACTATTCATATTATGTGGTCTTGTACTTACTACTATTATCACCGTTGAGGGAGCACCTTCGTCGAATTTACGTGAGTAACTATATTATAAAAAATAATATTATTGCCTACAAACACTAATAGGGGCGGTTCTTGACAAGAAAACGCAAACCTCAAAAAATATAACATCAAGTTTATTAAATAGTAGAATATACTCGAAAACAAAAAAAAGTAGCTAGTTTTTCGCGATATTTACAATTGTTAAATCTATACTTTGAAATACTGTGTTTTAGTAATAATTAATTTTTAAAAAAATTGTTGTTTTAGCCAAAGGATTTATACAATGCAAGAAAAGTGATCCGAAATTCAACGAATGTCTAAAGGACGGTCTTCAAAGTGCTATTCCTCATTTAGCAGAAGGTAAAATAAAAAAAATATACTCTAAAATAAAGATTTATTTCACGAAATTACTAATATTGTAATGATTTTGTTATATTTATATCTGTATAAATATAATGTTCCGTAGGTGTTCCGAGTTTAGGACTAATCAAAGTAGACCCATTGCGAATTATAGAGTTGAAAATTAATCAAGAAAGTGGTCATCCAGTAAATTTGGACTTAAAATTTAATGACGTAGATTTGATTAACTTGAAACATAGCCAGATAAAATCAGTTTAGTGAGTATAGTACCTATAAACAGTGTGTTCATGCATAATAATTATTAATGTTATTCTACTACAGTTATGATTCTGTAAACTATAATGCTAAAATCGAAGTATTATTGCCGGAATCTTTATTATTGGAGGGAAACTATGAAGTAAATGGTAACGTGCTTGTTGTTCCAATAAAAGGAAAGGGAAAATGTAAACTTGTTACAGGTAATTTAATTGTTCAGTCTATAAAAATGGATAAATTGAATTAAAAATAAATGAACTGCTATATAATACCTATATTTTTACGTTGTTTTAGATATTTCAAATGCTGTCATTAATGTTCAATTCAAACCAGTGGTAAAAAATGGAAACACATTCTTGGATATCAACAATTTTACATTTGAATTTACCGCTACGAAATTGCATTTGAAATTTGATAATCTGTTTAACGGAGATAAAGCTTTAGGTTTGTTTATGTGTGATATATTAAGAGCATATGAGAATAAAAATAATTATAGTGGTTAAATTAATTTTCAATAAGTAGTTGATAATCTGCTCTAAACAATCTTATGTTGTAATTTATAAATACTTTATTTATTTAATATTTGACTGTTAAAATAATTATCCCGTTGTATTATTACAGGTGACAATATGAACGTGTTCTTAAACGAAAATTGGCGTGATATCTTGAAAGAATTGCAGCCTTCTGTTGAACAGGTTTTGAGCATGGCTTTTAAAGAGATAAGTCAACATTTTTTCAACAGTATTCCGGAAAATGAAATATTTTTACCTTAATTGGATCATTCTGTATTATTATGTTTTTTAAATAAATTTAAGATTTTGTTCGATAATTGATCTACTTATAGAATTTTGTTTATAAAAATTAAACTACTAATATCAAATCATGTTTTTAATTTTATGGTTATCAATAAAATTGTTTTCTTTTATTTGTGTGGACCGGTAGCTTACAGTTATTATACACACGCCCGAACCCCTAATCTCGGACACCAGAACTAAAAATTTAGAGGAACAGCTGCCTGTGCCGTGGTATGATAGCCCGAACAGGAGTTTTCGGCTATATCGTGCAAATAC